CTCAATGGTTTGGGAGACGGTTGTGATGAATCGATATCGGATGTAGTTGTTGCCGTAGAGTTAAGGTTACTTACTGGAGATACACTAGTGGCAGATGCTGGACTTGTGGTTACCGAACCAATAGTTGTTGTTGCATTTCTTACTGGTTCTGTGCTCTCTGCAGCTCTAGTTGTTGCAGAGGTTGAAGGTGATACAGTAGAAACTTCAGGTGGAATATTTTTATTTGCACTCAATGGTTTGGGAGACGGTTGTGGTGAATCGATATCGGATGTAGTTGTTGCAGTAGAGTTAAGGTTACTTACTGGAGATACAGTAGTGGCAGATGCTGGACTTGTGGTTACCGAACCAATAGTTGTTGTTGCATTTCTTACTGGTTCTGTGCTGTCTGCAGCTCTAGTTGTTGCAGTGGTTGAAGGTGATACAGTAGAAATTTCAGGTGGAATATTTTTTTGCACTCAATGGTTTGGGAGACGGTTGTGGTGAATCGATATCGGATGTAGTTGTTGCAGTAAGGTTACTTACTGGAGATACAGTAGTGGCAGATGCAGGACTTATGGTTACCGAACCAATAGTTGTTGTTGCATTTCTTACTGGTTCTGTGCTCTCTGCAGCTCTATTCGTTGGAGTGGTTGAAGGTGATACAGTAGAAACTACAGTTGGAATATTTTTGTTTGCACTCAATGGTTTGGGAGACGGTTGTGATGAATCGATAGCGGATGTAGTTTTTGCAGTGGCAGATGCTGGACTTGTGGTTACCGAACCAATAGTTGTTGTTGCATTTCTTACTGGTTCTGTGCTCTCTGCAGCTCTAGTTGTTGCAGAAGTTGAAGACGATTCAGTAGAGATTATAAATGGAATATTTTTATTTGTACTCGGTGCATTTGAAGGCGTTTGTGTTGATACAGCAATAAATGTGTTGTCGTGAGGTTGACGGTTACTTAAAAAAAATGTGACAATCGTAGATACTTTCCTTGTGCTTGAACTTAAGGAAGACGCATTTTTAAGCTTTGCGGGGTTTTGGTTTACATTCGTAGGTAATGTTGTCCTTTTGGTACTACGTGCAGATGTTTCTGTTGTAGATTGAGTAGATTGGTTTGAATTAACGATTTGACTTAATATGTTAACACGTTTTGTTGTTGGTATGGAACCTGTCTGTCCATTAGTATTTCCACTATTAGTCATAATTTTGTTTGTTGTGCTTTTTATTTGAGTTTCACTAGTTGCCCACGTTGAGTCGGACATAAATATAGGTTTTGTTGCCGTGGTATCTTTATTACTTTTTGGGATTTCTGTTGTTGTTGCTTTGGCAAATGTGATTAATTCACTAGGCGTATTATCGGAAGTTATTTCAGTTTGTGATTTTGTGAGAGATTTACTCATTTTTACATTTTTTACTGGGGTTATGCTGGAAGTAAAATCACTTGAAGGTGTTGCTTTGGTGAATTCTTTAGTATTTTTAAATGGCACTGGTGTTTTAGGGTTTTCGGTTGTAACTGTTCGTAAGATGGTTGTAGAATTAAAATTTAATGATGTTGTTGTTGTTTTTATGGCATTTCGAATTGACAATGTAGTTGCTGTTATTTTGTTTGTATTTATTGGTATAATTCTCGTTGTTATACTTTGTGTGGGATTGATACGGTATCTTATTAATATTTCATATGGGCTTTTTCGTATAATTTCCATGCGAGAACCAAATATTGGTGAACTCGTAGTAGTTATTACGAAAATCAGTAAAATTATAATACATTTTGCCATAATTCATTGAAGTTCCCAAATGGTATTTTAAGGATTTTCTTTAAGGATTTATTATTTTTTTTTCTTAATTTGTTTTTTTTTTTTTCTTTTTTAACACTTTTTTCACAGTTTCACAATTCGATTTTGAATAGTTGATGCACTTTAAACTCACGGACAAACTGAGTAATTTAGCTATGGGAAGTCGTATTTATTAGTTTTTTCCCAGCTTCGGGCTGTATTCTTGCAAAATATTATGTGAAAATATTTGATTTTATTTGCACTATTTATTTTTTTTATTTATTTATTTTTCTTCTTATTAATACGAATTTCTAAGAATATAATTATTGATACATCCATATATATACATATATTTAAATGTATCTTTAAAACAGCACGTGAAAAGCTAAAAGCGTTTGTTATACAATTTATACCATATACATATAGGCATATACTCGTACATATATAATAATATAATAATAATATTTATATATTTTATTTTTGCTAAGATTTGTTAGAGTTCTTAAAAGTAAGTATTGTATATATATATATATATATATACATATATACCAAACAAAGTAAATAGGAGCATATTTTCTGCACTACATATAATTTAATTAACAGACTTAACTGCTTTTATCGGTCTTATACGTGTTATTTAAAAATAAAATATTAAATTACTTAAATATTTTGTAGTGTGACTCAAGACTTAAATTCGATGCACTTTGATTTGACTTCAAATCAAAACAATCTAACCGGAAATAACTATTTATTTTTGTTTATATAAAGTGCAAATATTTTTATTAATATTTTGGTTATTGAATCCATCAATAACTGTTTTATATCTTTGCCCTGCACAGTAGATGACGGTAAACCCTTTTTTTCACTGGCTTAACAGAGACAATAAAAGTTGACTTATCAGATCACTTAATCTAATCTCCTAGAAAGAGCAAGGATAACACAACAAACTTCTTCCTGGCAACGAAAAATGCTTCACATGAATCAATAGTTGTTTCCAAATGGAAGTGTTTATGTTCGTATTACCACATGCCCGCTCTTCCAAACTAACCTGACTAATTTATTTCGAAAAAGATTAAAAAAAAGAATAAAATAATAAATGTGAATTAAACACTTTTTTTAAATATAAAAAGTCTAAAGTAGAAAGGCATATGGTGTATTCATTAATATGTTTGAAAATGTTTTATTTATTGATATTATTATTTTACATTATACCATATAGGTGCAATTTTAAGGTTATATTTTTTCGAAAATATATGTGTACCACATACAAGCATCTAGCTGTACAGTGTAAAAATGAAAATTCTACACATTAATCAATTGTTAACACTTCCGAGTGTTATTTCCTAAGCGACAGTAACAAACTATATTGGTTAATGTTTGGTCCGTAAGCATATTTGACATACGCAAGAACATCACACCTGTGTATACCCGAGATAGCTTCATACTAACAATGTGAATAGGACATGCTAACAGCATCTTATAGAAAGTTCCTTATCTGGAATAACTATATGCAAGAACATCACACCTGCGTATACCAGAGATAGCTTCATACTAACAATGTGAATAGGACGTGCTAACAGCATCCTTCTCTGAAATAACTATATATATGCAAGAACATCATACCTGCGTAAACCGTAGTGAGAATAGTACTGAACAGTATCAGACGGATATGCTTGGAGTATCTTACAGATTCGTTTGGAACGAAACTATATGCAAGAGCATCGCATAAACCCGATATAGGGAAATACTAACAATAGAAGACTCCTTCTTTAAAGCAAATATATGCAATATAACTTCATACCAGTGTTAACCCTAGTAAGGGTGGTACTAATCAGTGTGATATAAACATTCTTACAACTTTACCTTGTTTTTCCTTGTTATAAGAAAAGTATCGTACCTGAATAAAAGACCGAAGAGGTGGTGGTACTGAAGAATATGAATCGGGCATGTTACAGCATCTTATGAAAGTTTTTATCTGTAATGAAATAAAAAATACATAAAAGAAATAAAAGAAAAATAAAAGAAATAGAAATATAGTTCAAAAAATGGAATAAAAAATTTCTCAGAAAATTCTTAAAGTATTACATTCCCAAATGAGTCACCAGTATTTCCAATCAAGTCAGATATTCCTCCTGAAGCCAACAATTTCTTACACAGCTCAAATATTATCTATTCTAATCAATAAAAAAAACTTCGTTTACATTTAAACAATAGCGCTTAATATGTTTTGATTTATTTACTTTGGTTTTTTTATGTTCTTATACAAATTGTAGTTTACTTTATACAAAGCCGGCTAAGTACGTGAGAATATACCAATATCTTTAATTGGTGTGGAACAACAGAATTTTGATAACCGAACACTCTTAATAGCGCAAGTTAATGACCGCGACACCCATACAGTCCTCACGTAACCAAGATTTTCTCACAGCAAAGACCTAAAATAATGTGAAATTACCACAAAGTTCTCTAAGAAGCCGCTCTGAAACATCTCTCACAAAATACCACTTACAATCGTATATTACAAATTGAAACAATGTCAGTATTAATCTATAATTGATGAAAGCAAGTCTTGATCTATCGTAACATAATACACAGATACCATTAATTAACAAATAGATAACTGTACCGGAAGTAAGTTATCGTTGAAGACACGTTAGAAATAAGAACCTCTATATAAAGTGCTTAAGTACTACATTTGATCATTATATGTAATCTTCAATCTATTCATAAAAATAGATTTGTTTACTTCATAAAAATAAATCTGTATGATAACGAAGAGTTAGAAAAACTAAAAGGCGACATAGTTAAATGGATCGAAATCCTCGATATAGCTATGAAAATAATCAAAGTGTGATTAAAATTTAGCGACTACTTTTTTTGTAGTATTTAATCTTCAATGTTAATATCATTCCACATTTAATATTATACACTTATTTACCCTCTTTCATATTATATACTAAGTAAATATAAGTATTTAATACCTAAACTTCTAAGTAATAATTACAAACTTGAATTTAAATACAATTTTTTATATGTAAGATTGTGAGATTCTTTAATGCAGCCACAACACTAGATTATCACTTAAACTAGGAATTGTAATAAAATAATTCATCGTCGATTATGTTAAGAGAAAACTTGTTAAATTAAAAAATATTAATAACAAAGAGAAATACGTGTATACCTAAATGGGTTTTTAGGTAATTATGTGTTCATATAAATTTTATTTTTGATTATATGAAACATTTACACATTGTTAATGACCAACAAGTCATTTATTTCTAATAATTGTATACAAAAATTTTATCAAAAACAATATACTAGGATATACTTCTGCAAACACAATCTATTCAAATTCAGCAATAGTATACGATCCTGATCCTACCTAACCGTCTCGTGTTCTTCTTTTTTCTGTTTTTTTGGAGTTTTATTGCGACGTTTTTTCTTGGAATGCTCATGATTCATCAAAATGTTATTGACAACGTCTTCCGAATTAATGCCAACCTTCGTCAAGAGTTCATTGAAAACATTGTAGATTTGAAGTAAACAGTAGGCATCCAATGCTAGAAACAAAACCCAAAGATTATTGAATGAGCCATATTAAGAGCTTTTAATAAATACTTGCCTGCATACATAACTTGCTCAGGTCGCAGAGGCCGAATAGCCCAGTTTGAACGCTGTTCACTTTTATTTAAATGTTTGCCAAAACAAAGTTGTACTATTGAGCTCAAGCTTTCGCCACTAACATCGCTGTAGTCGTACGGAAATTTTATAGATCTCCATTTCAACTTTGAATAATAAGTCTGTATGTCCAAATAAGATGAATTGTATTGCATAAGAGTTTTTAATTTAAGCGATTTTGTGAGCATATGCAGATCATGAGCAATAGAAAATCCTAATTTAAGAATTTCAGTATTGTTAAAAATTTTCTGCCAGAAAGCTGTCCATAAATCAGCGGCTATATTATTTGAATCACAATCTATAATGTATACATTGTCGTACGTGGCCACTTGCAATAGAGAAACACTTGCGTCAACACAAACAGTTGATCTCCACTCGGAATCGAAACTTATTATTTGTTGAGTTTCTAGATGATTTATCATGTCCAACATTTCTTGATTACATTCAACGTGTAATATTTTAACGGCATTCGTATCGAGAGTCATATAACCCTCTTTAGGTATTTTATCATTTAAATTCGAATTATAGACATATTGACTATTTGTACTTTCTGTGGTTTGGTGATTTAATAATGTTTGTTGTACTAATTCGGGACAATCATCAGGTGGTAAATTGATAACACGTGCCCAATGAACTGCCTCCTCTACATCGTAATCACAGATATGGTATAATAAATTTTTATGTACTTCGACATTTGAAGTGATCATGAGTTGTTCACGAAATGCTTCTACACTTATTTTACCGTCTTTAAACTCATGATAGTAATAGCGTAAGCTACTACATTCGTGTCCAAAAATAAAATTAGGTATATGCTCGCTACTTATGTTGTACTTCTTCGATAATCTGGATACCAATTTTGACATTGTACGTATGTTCATATAAGCACTTCGAATCACTGTTATGTTATATTTGCTAAAAAGAAAAACATTTACATAAGCATGTAAACATAAATTGTTAATTATTTAAAACAAAAAACTATTTAATTAATATTAACAATTTACTACATACCAAAATATAGGTTCGCAGTATTCTACAACACTTTTTTTCTTATCAATTAATGTATCTAAGAACTTAACAAGCCTAACTTGTTCAGCTTCTTTGTCAGCAATGCAAGTCTCCACAACGGTAGTCTTCTCTTGTAAAATAAGGGGAAAAAGGAGTTCCTCCGTTTCAAATTTATCCATTATATCTAAACTTGATGCCCAGTATAAAGCCTTAAATAAATCAACACCAATTTAACATTTTAAAAATTATATAGACGTGCAGTATTATATACTCACTTCTTTGTACATATCCTTCGAGGCCATGTCTCTGAGTACAGATGAGATCGTTTCTGATATTTTATGCAAATCGTAAACTTCTGTTATTTGTTTGCATAAATGCAAGTCACCACACATTTTAATAAAGTTAAATGCCACCATACGAACTTCGTCATCACAGTCATATTTGCCAGGGTTCGATTTAACAAAGTCCGCAGTTATAAAAAGCACTTCAAATAAACCAAACTTATATTAACTTATTTAGTAGCTAAATTTTCTATTATATTATTATTATATATTATTTAATTATATATGATATAGCTAAAGTAGCGCTAGTGAAAATTAGTAAGCAATCATACTATTATTACAGCAGCTTCCTACAGAAACGTTTCGGACTAATGGAATTATTATGGGGCAATTTATCTAGCCCGCTGGATTTTTTTTCTGTAGACTATAAGCCATTAAAGTTAACTACTCAAGACATCGAAGCTTCAAATTGTAAACGTTGTACATTCATTGCAATTATTAGAAGAAAAAAAAAAACCACACTTTAAAGCCCAATATCTAAAACTCAAGCTATACTAATATATATCAAAAAAAAAAAGCTCAAACCAGCTATATTTGCTAAAATCGTTGTAAAATGATTATGGCTCTAACTTAATTTTCCGCTGGATTCAAAGATTTTTTATTAGATTACACCTAACACATGGAAAATATCCGTATGACTGCTCTGAAGAGCCACCGTAAACATAAAAGTTAGAAGCATCTAGCGTACGAACAGCATGACTGTGAGAAGACACAACTTTCACTTCGCTTCATTCCCAAGTAAAAGGAAACCAACCTGACAAGAAGTCCATCAAGCTGGCTATGTGTCTGCAGCAAAGTGTTCTCTTCATCCGTAGAGCTACAACCTAAGTCGCTATCATTACTTAGTGCCCTATCATTTATCTTATATTATATACAAAATATTTATATATTTATATTAAATCTCTTTTCACCGTTAAAGCGCAAAGAAATATGAAAAGTAGCTGTTACTGAGTCAAGTCTGGTTTCATTACTTGATTTACTAGAAGGCTAAACAACAGCCAATAGTGCAACGTGAGTAGAGTTTACTTGAGGGGCGAGCGTAAAGTTCCAGTAATTTGCCGTTAATTAGGAAAAGGAGTAATTATATTTATAATACGTTAATAAATGATGTTAAAGTTATGTGTCCTCTTCTTTGATAATATTTTATTAAATTACTCTTATCATTTGTTTCAATCACTTTTCAATATAATAAGCATAGAGGAGATATAGTACATAAGATACAATATATATATATTTTTTTTACTAAAAGTAATAGAATTACTTACAAAGTGAAGCCAGACTTTTATTCTTTAAATTATTACAACCAGGAACATTTGCAAAAAGTTTAAGTGCTAATACCAACGGTTCCGGATCATTCTCTAGTGCTTTATGTATGGTATCTCGTAAAGCTGGCGCACGTTTATCTAAAATGAAAAAAATAAGAGACAATATTAAGAAAACAAATTCGTACTATTTTACGAAGGATTTAGTAAAAACAACGTATTAGACGAAGGCCGCAACTGGTATAGTTTGTTATGGTACATAGTTTTGATGTAACTTACAGGTATTGTAAATTTTCTGAAGATTGTTTATACACGTTATCATCTTAGGTTCCAGACTGCAGTCTAATATGTAAAACAAGTTTATATTTTATATATTATGTACAATTATAAGAAATTAATATACCAAAGTCATTTCCACTTAATGTTGCCCCACAAGTAATGTCAGGTATCACATTTACTGATAGATCAGTACAGGCAGTTTTAGAGAAAAATATGTCCTCATCCTCGTCAAACTCAATACCTGCTGGTAATAGTCTACCACTCATAATGTATTCAATCACTTGTAAAACTAAGATTACAAAATTAAAAAAAAAAAGCAGTCAGCACTGCACTGCTTTCCTTTTTTGTTTTGTCTGTAATTTGACGTTTTGGAGCCACTATTTTATATACAAAATGCATGTTCGCTATATCCGACCCAGTTGGAAATATTTTATTTTTATTGAAAATATATGAAATATATAGCTTTCTTATATATTTATTATTGATATATATATATTGAAGCAAATTAAAAACACATTATTTTAGTTAAGTTGAATCAAATAACCGTAAGTATTAGAAAGAGAAATATTTTAATATATAATTTTTACCGTTTCTTAAATAAAATGTTTGTACAGCGGCTTTGTTATGCGAGCACGAACATGACAATGTTTACAACAGGAAAAAAAATGTATTTGTCTATTTTCTATTTTTAATAATTGATTTTTTGACTATTTTGACAGTAATGAGAAATCTGTCAAACCCACTGAAAGTGATTTAAAAATAGTATTCAAAACTATGTCATTACACGTTGTAGCAATAAAACCAAATTAGATGCAACGAAATCATTCCAAATTTAGTTATAATGATTTATTACTGTTTTATATGTATTTTATGAAATTTGAAGATATTTTTATATTCCATTTATTCATATTCAAATGAATATACTTAAAAACCCTACGGATGAATATTAATTTTTTTTTCTGGTAATTAACTAATCATAATAAAATTATTAATGAGTAAATATTGTAACCCAGACATATTTTATAATTATTAAATTTCTAAATTGCTTAAACCAAAAATTACTAACCATATGATTAAAATTCTAATTAAAGCACTTTTTGCATAACACCTGGTTATACAGTGGCAACAGCACAGAGGCATTGTGCCTTGACCGATTTTAAACCGTAGTCTAGTATATGTGAAAGAGACCACCAACTTTTCTTTGGACTGCGAAAATTTAAAAACTAGAATTTATAAAGAGGAATGATTTGTAGTATACTGAAATTCATTTTCATTATTTTAAGGTGTTCAATTTTCTTATTGAATTTTTATAAAAATTTAATTTTCTTTTTTGCTTAATATTTAGTGCCCACACTAAATAAACAAGTCCTTTACCAAAGTCTATAGCTGATATGGCACCACTGTTGTAAAAGATCATATATTATAGGTCTATTTCACGAGCATTTCGTATCAATTTTGAGTAACACTGTATATACACACAAGTGCGTTCCACTAGCAAATGTTCGAGTAAATGAGAGCATCTGAGAGAGCGTAACATCCCTGTCGACATCCCTGAAAATGCTACACAGACTTTACTCGTACATTTTATTTCAAGTAAAATTTGTGTGATGTGTGAATCAGCTGTTTTGATTTGAATTCAATTTTTGTGTTGCTTATTTGCGAGGCACTGGTGTTCTCACCAAATTTTACACAAACCTGTTTCATGAAAATTTGTGTAAAAAGCATAATTTGTCACTTTATTTGTGTTACGCTCTCAGTTTGTACTTTACTTGTGTTGTTTTACTACGAGTGTTGTTTGAGTTTTACTACGAGTAGCTCTTGGAATAGACCTATGTTTTTACAATTACAAACCTTTCATTTGTGTGCAATATTATTTATATTAATATAAATACTTATTGAAAAATCACAAATTAAAATAAATATCAAATTAAAAGCAATGTACGAAATTTTAAAGTTTTCTTTTACAATAAAACTAATTACAGTTGAAAACATTAAAAATTATAAACTTATTAGCAACTAATAAGTTGAATAATTAAATATACTTTTTAATCATAATTTCTTAAAAATTTCTATACATATTTAAAATATTTATATTTTACAATTTTTTTGTGTATTTTTAAAATATTTCCTTTCCATAATTACACACAACTTTTAACATATGACTAAAATATTCGTTAACAATACAATAGATTGCTTGCTTATGACTTTGGTGAACATTTTTTTGCAGTTTTGTGTACAAATTAAAGACTTTAGGAAGAGACTTGTTTTTTGCCCCACTTTGGAGCGATTCGAAGTTACAACTTTGTGTAACTTGAAAACCTTTTCGACTGTACACTGTAGTTATTTTGCTATATGATTCAAATATTAATATTTTTATGTTACTTTTTAGTCTCTAAGAAAGTATTTATTGTTTGCCATATTCAAGTCTGTTTGATTTTTGTTTGATGAATTGATTTACATCACGCACTTTAAAGTCTGTCAAACTGTGTTTGTAAGTGTAGGCAGTGCATAATATATAAAAAGTAAAGCCGTGAGTTATAAAGATTTCGCATCGCTTTAAAAATTTGCTAATTGACGTACAATAGGCTTAATAAATTGCAGTAAAAGTAATAAATAAAAAAAAGCGAAAGCATCCGGTATAGCCGGCAAAAATATTGTATAAAAATGGAGTCGCAAAGCAATAGTAAGTTAAAAGTCTCAATTTGCATTTAGTGAGGTTATATATATGAAATATTTTTCTAATATTAAAAACTTTTGCAAATTTCAGTACTAACTCAGCCATTTATTGCACCAGAAGTTGTTAAGGAAATATCTGATCAAGGAGAAAATGGAGACGAGTTGAAAGAGAAAAATGGTAACCTCAGTCGTTCACATAGTGTTGAAAAAGACCTTGACACCTCAAAAGAAACACGTTCAAGCATCTCACGCTCAAGATCGAGGTCTCGTAGTAGTGAGCACACTTCAGCAGTAAATACTTCTGTTGAAACTGAGGAAATTCAACAGAATATAACTAAAAGTCGTAGTAATTCGCCTGTAATAGAGAAGACTATACGAAGCCCAAGTCCATCGGTTATACGTCGTAGCCGCAGTCGTTCAAAAAATAGATCATCACATAGCCGCTCCAGAAGTAGAAATTCGCGCAGTCGTTCTGCATCAGGCTCAATACATCATAGCAAAAGTAGAAGTCGGTCGAGAAGCAAAAATTCTCGCAGTCGTTCGCCATCGGGTTCAGTGCATCGTAGTAAGAGCAGAAGTCGCTCCAAATCTGTTGTACGTAAAAGTCGTAGCCACTCTAGAAGTAGAAGTCGTTCACGCTCAGGTTCTAGACATTCTAGTTCACGAAGTCGCTCAAGATCAGGTTCAAGACGTTCACATAGTGGTTCGCGCAGTCGGTCTGGTTCTAGACGTTCTCGAAGTAGTACACGTAGTCATTCTGGCTCTAGACGTTCACGTAGTGGTAGTGGTAGTAGAAGTCGTAGTGGTAGTCGTAGCCATTCACGAAGCAGATCCCGTTCAGGTTCACGACGTTCTAAAAGTGGTAGCCGAAGTCGATCAAGAAGTGGCTCAAGGAGATCTCATAGTGCTAGTCGCAGTCGTTCTAGGTCTGGTTCAAGACGATCACGTAGTCATTCTCGTAGTCGTAGTGGCTCAAAACGTCGCTCACGTTCCATATCCAGACGTTCTCGCAGTGGTTCACGTAGTCGTTCTAAATCAAAACAAAGAAAAAGTGGATCGCGTTCCCGCTCTCGTTCACTTTCTGGTGCTCGTAGTGTATCACCTAATCGCAATCGTTCTCGTTCTCGTTCAAAATCAAGATCTAGATCAGCTTCGGTTGCTTCCAATAAAGGCAAAAAACGAAATGTATTGAGTGACTCTGAAGGTAAACAATTCTTTTAAACTAATTTAAGAAAAACTTATGACTTTGTTTCTCAATTAGATGAAGGACAGTCCAGTTTCAATAAACGTCCCAAAATAACTGATACTGATGAAGAAGATGAGGAACAAACTGAAAACAAAGCAAGTGAAAATGACAAACCAAAAGAAAAACGCATTGGTGATGAAAGTTCCGATGATGAAAATATCCCTATATCTAATGACAGAGAGTAAGTATATTTTTTACTATATATCCATGTTATAAATATAATTGCGATAAATTTTCAGAAACGACAATTTTGTTTCCGACTTCGATGCAATGTTACTACGTAAAAAGGAAGAGAAAAAAGTACGTCGTCGCAAACGCGATATAGATCTTATAAATGATAATGATGATTTGATTGATCAACTGATTATGAATATGAAATCCGCTTCGGATGAAGATCGTCAATTAAATTTAGATGGAAGACCTGCAACAAAAAAAATTGCTATGTTAAAACAAGTTATGTCTCAACTGATTAAGAAGGATCTACAGTTGGCATTTTTAGAGCATAATGTACTCAACGTGCTGACGGATTGGTTAGCACCATTACCAAATAAAAGTTTACCATGTTTGCAAATACGAGAAAGTATTTTAAAATTACTCTCAGACGTAAGTCGCTGAATCCCATTATAAATTGAAAATTCAATTTTAATTTATTCTTATAGTTTCCTACTATTGACAAGAGCTATTTGAAACAATCGGGCATTGGCAAAGCTGTAATGTACCTTTACAAACATCCAAAGGAAACAAAGCAGAATCGAGATCGTGCTGGTCGTTTAATTTCAGAATGGGCGCGCCCGATTTTCAATTTAAGTTGTGATTTTAAGGCTATGTCTAAAGAGGAACGCCAAGAACGTGATTTAGCACAAATGCCAAACCGTCGCAAGTCTCCTGAACCTCAACCCTCAACTTCCACAAAAAAGAAAGGACTAAGTTCAGCTTTTGCTTCTGACGAAAAAGTATTACGACCTGGTGATCCTGGTTGGATTGGACGAGCTCGTGTTCCATTGCCATCGAATAAAGACTATGTTGTACGACCAAAGTCAACTGTCGAAGGAGAAATTTCTACAGTAAGTCCGATTACTACATCATCTTTAATTCATTCTTAAAATCTCTTTTTTTTTTTTGTTGTTTTCCACAGAATAACAAGCGAAAGCCTAATCGATTTGAAAAGCACATGAAAAAATTCCTTGATGCTAAACGTTTAAAGCAATCAAAACGAGCTGTTGAAATTTCTATTGAAGGCCGAAAAATGGCATTATAAATGCTCAAATTTTTTTTTTAATTTAGAATTATTTATTTTAAGATTAATGTTTAACTATTGTAGCTAAATAAATGTGTGTGTGGTTACTTTTAAATAAAGCAATACAAGTGTCCACCTCTAGTAAATACATATACAGGCCTATATTTATAAGTACTCACACCATTTACTTAGGAATGAATGATGTTTATAATGTTATTTCTGAAAGGGTCTTTATACTCTACAATATGTTTTAGATGTATTTTGCCCTAGACGTCGCAGTAAGTATTCCTATATTATTATATACATATATTTATCTTCATGAAAGCTTATAAATTTATTGCACTCAATGTAAATTACTAAAATATATATCTAAATATATGTGTCTAAAGACTTAGTGCTGATTACTATTAGAACTTCTTTCTTTTATTTGATGTATAAATTTAGTTAGAGAAGTGTTCATCTATATCATATTTTGTAACGATTCTTCAAAAAACATTACGTTCTTTCGTGAAATGTCACTTTCACTGCTATCAGAAGACCCTGAGAAAATTTAAGAACTTAATGACGGGTTTTTATATCACTTAAGATAAATTTATTACTGGAATATTTCGCCTATGGATTGAAAAATAATTGAACTAAAATTCATTATATGGATTTAATGAAATTGCAATATCTTAAAGAAAATTTAGAATATCCAAAAACTTCTTAACACTTATCATTTCATAAGTTTCCAGGCCTTCAAAAATAGTTTCAGAACAATATTGATTCAGAAGGAATTCAACGGAGCATCTGATA